CGAGCACAGTGCTAAGTATGTGAATGTCAAAGGAATAAGAAAAATTAATCATCACATCCAAGCTAATTTATATCCATCAATATGTTAGTAAATATTGGCTAAAAGCAAACAAAAGCCAGCTAAATAGTTGTTGTTATTAATTTTATTATTAAAGAATAGTTTATTCACCAAGTGTCTAAAAATAAAAGAAAAAAACCTTACTAAATTTATAATTCTGAAGCAAACCAAATTAATATTTTTGGAAAACACCAAGTCAAAAGTATCTAATGTCCAGTTCTACAAATGCTTAAATAATGCAGGAAGATCTCTTTCCTCCTTTTGAAGGTAGGGTGGAAAAAAATGACTAGAGAAGCTGAAGAACAAATTTAGACTTTACAAAATGAAAAGAAGAAGACATTAGCAAAGGTATGATGGCAAATGGAAGTAAGCCTCAGGCTTCCCTCGCTGGGAAAAGTCTGCATCTCTGGCAGAGTTATGCCCCTCAACCAAATTCCCTCCCTATGGAATGAATGTGAAAATTGTAGACAAAATTTTGCAGCTCACAAAGTCTGTATCTAATCTGGCTCCAAGAGATACTTCTGAATAGTTAATCAGAACAAAGCCATTTTCAAAATATCTAGCTGATACTGTGATCATTTGGTGGGATCACCTGTCTTATCTATGGAAATACAAATATCTCACTGTATACATTACAGTACTGGGCAACATTGCTAGCTGAGCCAGTGGTCACAGTGTAGCTCCTTTTGCTGACCTTGACAGAATTTGCTAAAGACCAACATGAGACAGAAAAGAAACATTTGGGCTAGAGAACCTAATGTTCTAGCTTCTAAGATCCAAGACTAGTGTTAAAATTCTAAAACTCAGCTCTTGGTGAAGGCGGGGGGGGGGGGGGGGTCAAAATTTCAAGAGCATTCAAGAGTAGCCTAAGTAACTGGGAACATCTTAGCAAACAAAAACAAAATGCCGGGACCATTTCAAATTCTAAATTTAATGAGTTAATAGTTAAGTGTTAGAGTGTTTGCCTGTCATGCATGAAGGCCTGGCCTCAACTCCCAGTACTGACAATGACAATAAAAATAGAATGCCCTACATTTATGAAATGATTATTTATATATCCTATAAAAAATATATAATTACTCAAACTCTAAGGATGAAATACTGACAATATTAAATGTAATAGTAAAAAAAGCAAAACAAATCCTTATCTGAATAAACAATTATTCTAGACCCCCAAACCAGTACTTACCCTTAGGAAATTTTGTAAAAATCATAAACTGGTTCTTGTTTATATTGGTTGTTTAAGTAAGAGAACAAACATCACTTTAGTTTTCACTTATTTCTTAAAAATTGTCCAAATAATACCATTACTGCATTTGTTCTGCCTTTATAACCTATAATTGTTCAAAATTTAAAGTATTAATGATTTTAGTGACTCAAAAGTATTTTAAGTGGAGATAGGTCCATAAAAATTAGTGGTTGAGAAAGTTTGTACTCCCTCTTATGAATTTAACAATAACAAAGAGAAATCAAGTATCTTTTTTTTTTTTTTTTGTCATGTCAAGGGTATGCTTCTCAAGCATTTTTTAAAGTATCTATTTCCCTGTCTCCTATTCAGTCCAAAACCATTTGAGCTTGAACCATTTTTTTTTTTGTCTTGTTGTGTCAAAGCTCCAGCTAGAAATGTACTTCAGTCAATTTCCTTTTACTCAGTAGGCTTAGAATCAGAATTTTAAATTTAAAGGGAGGTCCGAAGCATAGTGCTATTTGAAATTAACCATGTCTCTTGGGTAAAAAGGAGTCTTCTCCTGGGCAGTTTCCATCCAAGATTGGCCGGATAAATAATCTGCTTTATACATAGCTGATACTTTATATAAATTGAATGACCTTTCCCAAAACTAACCAAGAAAAAGACTTCAGGTTATTTGAAATTGAATGTAAACATCAATTAAACTGGATGAAGAATTCAAGGTGAAAAATACTTGTCCAAGTATGATATACTAATGATTTGCTCTCATATAAAAACATGGTCTTCTTACTCCCAAGATGACAGGAGAACCCTGTTTCACCCACTGACATTCTTAAGAGGATTTGATCTTGAATACAGAAAAACAAACAAACAAACAAACAAAAAACAAGTACTTTACAATCGTAATCTCCTTCATTACTAATGAGACTGTAGTTTTAGAACATTTCAGAGCCTACGACATATATAGCCAGATGAAATGAGCTGTTTTCATGTTCATTATCTTCTATCCATTTCTTGGTTATTGACTGATTTCCATCAACATTCTTTCAAAGGGCCCTTCTAATAAAGGCTCTGAAAGAACTTCATTGCCAGGCACATCATTATCGTTATGTGGAGGGAATAAGCCAGAGACAACAGGTATTCAGTTTCCAAATGAATCAGCAGTGGAGCCTGAGCATCTGAGACTCTGACTCAGGACTTACATCACAAATAACAAGGACAAGCACGATCTTTCCATCTTTTCTAAGTTTTACTAATCTACCAGTTCGTATTCCTCTCCTAAAATCATTGTCTGGAGATCACATCTGCCAGATGGCCACACCAAATAACAGGTCTCCAGGAGTGTACCAGAGACCACATTCACCCTTCCTGAGGCTGCCAACTTTAGCGGCTTCTGTTGTGTGTGTGTGTGTGTTTTGTTTAGTTTTTGTCTTATAAGCTCTTTGCTTCTTCTCATATTTACGTGATCTGCTCTATCTAAGCCTAGATTTTTTTAGTTTTGTTTATTCTTATTTATTCAGATTTGTCTGTATACCCAGTTCTTTGATGTCTGAGAGCCTGGGAGGGAAAAATTTAATTCACTTAGTGATGGACAGATCCTATCACTACCACCACCCAGTGTGACTGAGCCTCAGGCAATGGAGAGAATACCTTTGAGCCACTTCATTTTAAAAAAGGCATTTTGTGTGCAGCACAAGAACAAAATTCAAAACACTAAATCAGAATAGCATGAGGACAGAAGAAAACAGGAGGTAATTACTAGTTTTTATTGATATTTCTTTAAAAATCTGAAGTATTCTGACACTCGATGGAATAGTCAACTGTTACAAAAAGGCATTTCAGAGCAGAATATACTGCAATATGATGCTATGATTAACAGGCATATAATCCGGGGCACTAAGCAACTACAAGAAAATGAACTAAGTAGATAAGATTTTTACTGCTTTTCCAAAATGAAAAGGCTGTAATCTGTCATACTTACACAGAGGTAGGGTCGACTATTATCTTCACCAAGTATTACAACATAATTTCATCCACATGTATTAAACTGAGATTTCAAAAGAGTATATAAACAATGAGAATGAACTATTATATTATGATACTATATATCTCTCAAACCAGAACCCATTATAACATACTAAAGATTATTATTTTACACCTAGCCTTTTCAACAGGGGAAAGCTCCTCCATACAGCTTTCCTTGTACTCCTGTTCTTAAAAAAAAAAAAAAAAAAAAAAAAAAAGACAAGCGTTACCGGACACAAATGAGCGAATAAGGAGCAGCAATGAAGTACACCATATGTTCCTGTTGTAGGCTGAATCCAGGTCTTTGTTTCAATATTACAGCGCCAGCAGGAAGGCAAGCTAAATACCCACCCATTTAAAATTGTTCTCTCACTATTGCTGGTAAAAGTTATACTTATGATAGGTTCGGCCGGAACCCATCCTATCTTTTTTTATTTGCTTCTTTTATACATATTTTTTGAATCTCAGGAACCTGCAACACAATCGCCCTAGATAACAGGTCTGTGGCAGGACAATCTGATAAGCCAATACAAGCGGCAGGCACTGAGGAGGACAAAGTTGTTTTCCTAGTGAAACAGTTCAGAAGTGATTCTATTTCAATGACCTTTATTTCATTTTATTTTATTTTTGCTTTTACCAGCTACGCACCTAGCTAGACACTGACCACTTGGTCCTCAAGCAGGGCTTTCATTAATCTTGCGATCTCCCAGACCAGTTGTAATGGTGCAACTCAAAACAAAACCCCTAACCGCGCCCCAATACCTCAGGCTGAGTTACCTTTTGCTTTTTTTCCTCCCTACCAAAGTGCAAAAATTGTACGTCGTTCCCCTGAAAAGGTTCGCACCGCTATCCTAAGCCATCATTGCACTCTTTCCGAATCTCTGCCCTGGCGTTCCTATTGTCAGATGCCTTCCTCCCCGGGGCGGTGTGCAGGCGCCTGCAAAGGGCGCCCACGCTTACCTCCCGCACACCTGCAATCCCAGCTCGGGATGCTGGAGAAGATGCTCGGCGGGCTGCGAACGCCCGGGATGCTGCTCCCGCCTCTCTCCCGGGGAAACTACCGAGCAGGCTGAGCCTCGGCTTGGACTGAGACTCAAGCTCCGCCTTCCGCGCCTGTAGTTGGCCGAACCTCGGACTGCCGCTCCTCCCTCTGCCGTCTGCGCAGCACGAGCCGCAGGCGGCGCGAAGCGGTACCCGAGCAAGAGTCGCTCCAGGCTCTCCGGCCGCTCCTCCTCCTGCGTCTGCCCTCCTCTCTGGCATCTCACCTGGCGCTCCTGGGGCCTGGCGTAGCCCGCTCAGTGGGCTGTCCTGGGGAGTTCTGCGGCTTCGGACAGGCGGAGCCCGCCCCTCCCGCCCAGAGGCTTCCTCCCCACCTTCCCGCGGACCCAGCCCAGCCTCCCATCACTTGCCACCTCTGGTCCCCGCCCTTTTCCTCCCACCCATCCTTGACACCGCCCGTCGGTGGGCGTGGCGCCTGCGGGCCGGCCTTGCATTCTGATTGGTGCAGGTGAGAGCTGGTTCCGCCCTCCCTCCGTTTCTGGACCCTCTCTCTCTACCCGTCTCCTCTCGTCCTCAAAGACAGGGAACGCTGCTCTTATTTGCTAGAAGTGTCCCCACCTATTGCCTTAGGCGTTCTCGCGGGTCCTTCTGGGAAATGTGGTCTTGCAATTGCAGGAAGTGCTGGCGGATAGGGCAGGCGGAACTACGAATCCCCATCGGGCCTTGCGCGACTCCTGCTCGGCAGGATTCCGGACAACGCCTGGTTCCTCTCGGGTCCTTCCGGCGTCGCCGGAGTGAATTGATCCGGGAGTTGGAGACGGTTCCAAAGGTGGGCAGTGGAAGTCGGTGCCTCGGTTGCCGGTAAGGTGAGGTTTTGGGGTTCGGGTCCGCACGGCTCCGCGGGCAGCCAGCGCGGCCCGGGGTCAGGCGGGGGTCGAGGCGGAGGCGCTGGGCTGGACTCGGGCCGGCGGGGCGGACGGGCGGGGAGCGGGGCCTCTGGGCGACAGCGAGGTCTCTACGCGAGCTGCGTAAAGCTGGTTTGTAAATGCCGCCTGCGCGGCCCGGCCCGGCGCCTCCAGGAAGTCCGCTGTGGGTGCGGGCGGAGGGAAGGGTGAGGTCGGCCTCCCGGGGCCCCGACCGAGGGGGCGGATGTGCTGGGTGCGGACCCCGGCAGGTGAGCTGGCGAGGCCCGGGAGAGCGTGGGTGCCCGCGGGTCGGCGCCGGGGTGGCGGGGGTCATGCCCTTTGAGGGAACGAGAGCCAGTGTTGACAGTTCCGACTCAGTTCCAGCTTCCTGAGGTGGCCTCCCCCGGGAGGTAATTCCTCACCAGAAAGGTTTGTCTCTTTTAACTCCAGTATGTCAGGTGGATTCACTTCTGACCTGCACTCCAAGCGCGTTCGCTTTGGGATGCTAGTGAGAAAACCGAAGGGACAAATGACGTGCCCAAGGTCACGCAGATCTTCAGTCCAGTCCACCCGAAGTTCCGGTTCTGCCCAGAGTTGTCTGCTTAGGAAGAAAGACGCAGGTCCAAGTTGCCAAGTAGAGTGTGTATTTCTCAGAAACGCTGGTGCGAGGAAGAGTTGGTTTGTCTATTTGTTGCAGTGGAGTGAAATCCTTCCCAGTGCATCCTCTCTAACGTTCAGTCAAAACAGGAAGAGTCATGTTAGCTTGGATATTTACCTGTTTCTCTGGGATAGACTAAATGGTAACACTCAACTTCCATGCCCTGTTGTTAAAGGGTAGATAATATTTACCAGTTAAAGCTCAGTGTTGACGTTAAGAAAATTATTGTTTTCCTATTTTTTTTATCATTTTAGAACCAGAGGTAGTACTTGTAACTTTAACAAAACTTATTTTACACATTTTAATGCTTTCGTTAAGTGAATTTTAAATGGAGAATCATGGAGAAATTATAACATATTACTAGAAATGATTTCTTTTTTTTCTCTGAGATTTTTACTTTTCCCTCATTTTCTTCACTATATGTGTAAGCAGTAAAAACAGGCACTAGTATATTTTCTGTTTTCTTTACATCATCTGTGAGTTTTAATTCATTCTTATTTAATGTTAAAGAATGAAAAAAATAATGCTTCTATATTGAGTGAAACACAATGGACTTGTTCCAAACAAATGACTAATTATAGACGATAGATATGATTGGATAGTTTATTTTATATAGAGTATAGGAGTCGTTTTAATCCATAAACATACAAATTTATAGTTAGCAGGATTACTATGTAGGTTAAAATATTAAATACATAATATATACTGTAAATAAATATATACTTTTAGTGTTTTTTGATTGTCATGATTAATATTAACAATGTTTTCTTGTTTGTTTGTTTGTTTGTTTGTTTTTAATGCAAGGCCCTTTTCTGGGATCAGAAGAACCTTTGTTTCTCTGTGTTTCCAGTTATTATGGTCTTTTTTTTATCGGGACTTTTTAAGTAAAAGGAGAGGTATGTTATCATAAAATTAGGCAAAATCAGGGATAATGTAACACCAAGCATAGAGTAATTCACAGTAGGGAAAAAGTCACTAAACAAAAGGGAAATTATGTGGGGTTAATTGATTTTGAAGTATATTAAAAAAGTGCATTTGTGTCAGTGGGCCACCTATAATAAGTCAATGCTGGTAAAACATATTTGTTCTCTTAAGGAGACAGTATCCTTTGCAGGACTTTGGAGGTCTTGTAGAGTCATCTCTTTCTTAAAAGGTAATCTGTAGAACAGAGGCTGTATATTACTTATCCTTGTAATCTTGGTTTTTGGAATAATTGAGTGGATACAGGGAATACAGAAAGGCTTGGGTGATGAAATGATTTGCCCAAGGCCATATGACCTGTCACAGATCAGGTTATAATCCATATCTTTCAACTAGATTTTTTTCTCTATTGTTACTATTATTTACATTTATTCACTTTGTATCCCAATTGTAGCCTTCTCCCTCATCTCTTCCTGGTTCCACCCTCCCTCCATCTTTATCTCTCCTTATCCCTCTACTATCCCACCTCCCTAGTTCACTGATAGGGGAAGTCCCCCAGGTTCTTTTATATCTCCTTTCTTCCATAAAGAAGAACTCTGAACTCTGTCTAAAGTTTGCTGTGAGTCTCTGCATCCGCTTGGATCCCCTGCTGCTTGGAGTTTTTAGAGGACCTCTGTGGTAGGCTCCAGTCCTGTTAGACTATAAAATTTTAATGTTTGGTTCAAAACTTTGTGTAGGAAAAAGACTGACCATTACAAATGTTCAAATGTCACTACCCTCTCACTTTGTTTAATCCCACCAATTTGTATTCTGTTTCTCTAATGGTTCTATTATTAACTGATCCTCAACTACTTATTTATTGCTTTTTTCATATATGTTTCTTCCTGATTTGGGGACTTTTACAACTTCTGCCTTTCCACGTGTCCCATTTCATCTTCCCTTTACAAATGTGGCTGGTCCCTTCAAAGCCTAGCTTTCTCTGAACCCTCCTTCTCCAAACCAGAGGGGATTCCCACCCTCTCTTCTCCATATTTTGAATTCTATTAACACTATTGCAATAGCAATTTATTATTTCTATGTTGGTTTAATATTTTATCATCTCATTAAAAGTTACCTGAGCAAGGCCTTCTCATTTGTTCTGTCTTAGCCCACCTCTTACACAATTCAGTATAAAGTCAGTGTAAATTTACTCATTCAACCCAGAAGAGTACAATTTAATGGCTAAAGTCTTAGAGGACTAGAGCTAAGGTTTAAGTCTAGACCTGTCTCTATGCTGCTTTGGTTGTCTTTGGTTGTAGTTATAACCAGGATTTAATACAACCTTGAGAGAAGATGATTTGGAGAAACTAGCTTAATAATTTCAGAGGAATTTGTATTTTGCACTTCTTAAAAGTTATATTTGAGGGATTTAAGTTAATATTTTACTGCTTTGAACATATGACACTTATAAGATTAAACATGTCTTTAAAAGTTTGCAAACAAAATTTTAAGGATGTAGTAGGCTAGATTTTTGTATGGAAAACAACTTGTGTAATTTTTCTCAGTACTTACTAGTATAATAAAATACATTTAACATCTGAATTATGTAGCCTTTATTCATTCAGTATTTACTAGCACACTTCCCAGCAGAACGTTGGGGTTGTTTTCAATTTTGATGATGTGGTAAGGCTTATTATTAAACATGGTTTTGCTAAATTGTAAGATTACTTGGTACTTTTTAAACGTTAATCTGAATGTTATTTGAATCTTAAGTAAAATTCTTTTTTACCTCATATAATACAGTTTTCAAGAGATTAAGCTGTTTATAGTTTGATAGAATATTAGGGTTATTATGATAGATGCTGTTACTAATAATTTTAAGCCAATATATGAATTTTTCTGAAGGAAATATATAGGAGGAAATACATAGACGATAGTGTGAGTCTATACTTCACTGCATTTAAAATACTGTGAGTTTTAGATTTAGGGTAATAGAGTATTTATACACATTTATATCAAAGCCACTTTTACATTTGGATTATGGAAAGCCATTGTTTTAAACTATGTAAAAGTGATTTGAACATATTTAATCTCCTTTTATAGTTGCTTAGAATTTGATTAGTTACTTTAGGATGATGGGGAACACAAGGATTTTTATTATCCTTAGATTACACTGAGTTACTGGGTAAGCACTGAAGTTAACCTACCTTTCCTTAGTAGGGAAGGTCTCTTGGGAACACATTTACCATAGTAAATCTAAATTGCATAGTAATGATCCCTTGATTCATTTATCTACATATTTGTTGAGGATGTTTTATGTGTGAAAGTATCTACTTTGGAATGAACTGAAATCTTATATATGGCCAATGGTTATACCAAGCATTTCACGTGCCTACCTACAATCCTTAAAACCACTGTAGGAAGCAAACATGATTATCCTCAGTTTGTGAACCAGGAAGATGAAATGTAGAGAGATGAAGTCACTTGCCTCAAGTTGCCCACAGAACTCATATTTGCTTAGCAGTTTAGTCCAGGCTGCCTCACTAGAGATACCTTGCTTAGAGTCATTTATGCAAAGTAGTGTTCATGTTTAAAGGGCTGCTCCCACCATTAGAGTTGCAGTTACAGAAAGTTTGTCCCCCAAATGTGGAGATCACTGGGACATAGTTACTGTTCTTTAATAAGCAGTTTATATTTAAAAATCTATTGGGAAGTTCAAACAGCAGAGACTAACAGACCTTTCCTACATTACATCCCATTTTTCTCTGTTCGTGACATAGTCCACTTTCCTATAGACTGAAAGGTTGAGTGTTTGATTTCCTCTTCAGATGCTGTTGGAAAATATCTATAGACTGGTATTATATATTATAACTCATTACTCAAAATTAGTGCTAGAAGCTACTCAGGCTGAGGGTCTATGGCTGTCTGAGTTTGTCAGAGGAATAGTAGGCCATTTTCTTACCTCAGTCTGGGACTTGTGTACATGGAAAATTGTGACCACGGACCACTGGTTCCTAGAGTAGGTATTGTGTACTAGATGCAGGAGTGCTCCTTTCTGTCACTGTTTTTTAGTGACTGTTCATGTAGTCCCATTCATTTTCAAGGGCTTGAACTGACTTCATCACTATATCTTCAGCTAACATTATTGATGACTTAGACCATGCAGAATTCTGTAACAGGTACTAGGAAATAGAAAAATGCATAAATCTCTTAGGGAATTTAAACTTCAGTAGCAGGTAGAAGGGAAAGGAGATGTTAAGATCATTTCTTTGGTACTTAGACATTTTAATATACCAGCATTTCATATGCATCAATTTTTTTTGATAATTAGGATAAATAGCTTGTATGGAGGACAAAACATGGTTTCTCTAACTTTCTGTCTGGCTATTAGCACTGAAATGGCTCTTTCTGTCTTATTCAGCCATCCTGTCTTAATTTGGATGACCTGGAATCCAGCTGTGCTTGGATTGAAGGAATAACAAAACCCTAAAATGTTATACCCTTGCTGCCTTCTCACGCTTACATAAGGTTGTACAACAAAAGGTACTTGAAAATGTTAAATGAGTCAGACCTGGCCTGGCAGCAGTGGCTCTTAGGCATTTTAAATTGTTGCAAGACTTTCTTAATTTAATTCCAAAAGATTTTGAATAATAGTATGGCCTTTTTACTCTGAATATACTCCTTTGAAGGATGCCTTTATTCATGTTAAAATTGAGTTTGATAGTATTAAGATTTTGTAAGTGTTCTTACAAAGGAATTAACAGTTTTGCAAAGTGAAGGTTACAGAAGAGACTCTGAATACCATACACATAGCCATCCTGTTACCTTCTTGCAACTAAGACCAATTGTATTTGAGATCAGTTAGAAGTAAAAGGTAAAGTTTAATGACATCATTGAGAGAGAACTTTGCCCTCATTAGCACCTAGTGTTAAACTAGAGAGCCAGGGACAACTTATTATTTGCTGCTCCAGATTCCACCTTTTAGAGTAACTTTTTGTGGTGTATAAACATCAAATAAGGAAAGTGTTTTTGTTGCATATTATAGAGAATCTTACCTATTTTGGAGTTACTAAATGAAAGAGTAGACATCTAAGATGAGGGAGTTGGTACAAAGCAAGTAGACATAGTCCACAGTGTTCTTGTAAATTTAGAGGACAGAACCATACCCTGAGAGCTTTTTTATTTGAATTCCTAAGATACTTAACAAACAAACAAAAAAAAGGATTAATGTTATGTTGGTCTAGATGCTAATCAAAAGGAAACAGTCATGTTCTTCAATCAAACACTTAACTAGTCAATTGGGCACTTCATCTATGAATCCTACATTGAAAACTTTATGGCCAAAAGAGGAGAATGCTTAAGAGGACAAATTATTTAATATGTTCGCATTTGAATTCTCTTTAGTCAATGGAGTAGGAAATAAAAAGAATTACCACAAGAAATTTGTATTATTACTTACACCAATAATTTTCAAATATGGTAGAAGCCATTTGCTATTTTCCTTACTCCTTTTTCCCAACAACCAACTGATCTCGAATTCTGTTTGTAAACTTTTCATCACTCCAAATTTTTACCTTTAATATGTTGTCACTCGGTCTTTGATCACATCTTGATTTTCCTGTGCTACCCAGTCTGCTTCTAGGACAGAGCTTCCTGTATTAAGCTGAATTGTGTTCTTTAAGAAAATAAAAGTAGGTTGTGTTTTGTCTGAATTTTATTTGTGTTTGTGTGTATGGGTGTTTTGCCTATGTATATTGTGTACCGTGTTTGTGCAGTGTGCACAGAGGCCAGCAGTCTTTGGACCCCTTGGAGCTGTAGTTACAGATGGTTGTTGGCCACCATATGGGTGCTGGGAATTGAACCCACTGAACACTTCGGAAGAGCAGCCAGTGTTCTTAATCCCTAAAAATAAAAGTAGTTTTAATGGCATTGTTTAAATAGTCTTAAAGTTCATTTGATGACCAAATTTATTTTGTATCTCCAAACTGAAAGTAAT